TCTCTCTCTCTCTCTCTCTCTCTCTCTCTCTCTCTCTCTCTCTATTACATTTTCGACATTCTTTGGTTTTCAATGCTCAACCCAACACATTGCGTTCCAATCTTTTGTGAGCAAAACCATGCTTGAAGGATTCAACAACCCAAACTTCCGGTTACCCAATGAGTCTTCACCCTTTAACAATTTTAAATATGAAACTATTTTTCAAAAAACAAATTTTTTACTTAGATAGACGAGTCATTATCTCATTGGATATGTGGGCACCTCATACGTGCCACGTTATCAATTTAACAGAAATTTTGACGGATCCTAACGGCAGGACCAAATTGATGTGTGAGGAGGAGTAACATAAAGAACCAATAATGTCACAAAAAAACATGAAGGACTAAAGCAGATAATTTCACGAACCTCAGAGACCATTTGTCTCATTTTGTAACATCACGAATTGGAGAAAGGACTTTTTAATCGTTTTCTCTTGTTGGTATGTCATCAGTATCAATAATCTGAAAGTTATACGTATAGAATTTTGATGTATTTAATAATAAGCTACCATTATTTTATTAGAATAATAATATTAATATTACACATGCATGATAACGAGGCCTAACCAAGGAAGGAGCCTCAGATAAAACATCAGCTCTTATTTTTGTGTAGATAATTTAGCACATATATCTATCAAACAGACAAGTTATTATGGTATGGCCATCTTCAATTTCATGCCTGAGGTTTGAGTAGTTCTTGGCTGCCTGACTCGCCCACCTTACCGCGTTGGGCGAAGTCGGTAAGTACTTTCAAGTTTCCCTTGTTCTCTTGCGCTTTAGCATTCTCAACCACAATTTTATTGTCGCCCATGTCGCCCTCGTCACCTCTGTTGGCGAAGTGGGTTAATGCCGACGTGTTGCCGCTGTTGTTGCTCAAATCGAACCCGTTAACATGAATATCATTGGTTCCAGCCATTGTCTCTCACTGATTGATTTTTCGTTGGGATATCTTTGTGTTTGCTTTGATGATCAACTCATTGCCTCATGGTCTCCTTTTATAGTTGTTGGCGTGCACATAGGCAGAGGATATCCTTTTCTTTGGATGGTCGATCGATACCCCTCTGATCATGATACAGATTCTATATTGATCATGATCATAATATTCTTCACACATATTTACATGTATGTCTGGTTGGAATAATATATCGGGTATAAAGGTTGCTAATTTGCCTTGTCCGCTAGCTTGATGAGAACACATTTCCATACATAGATGATGAGAAAGAATCTTTTGAAATGCCCTTACCTTTCTTGCCAAGCTACGTACTCTCTCTGCCTGCCTTGAGAACAACCTGAAATTATGGCGAAGCAAGTTTTACCTTTCTTGCCAAGCTACGTACTCTCTCTGCCTTCCTTGAGAACGACCTGAAATTATGGCGAAGCAAGTTTTCTTTTATAAGGATTGAAAATGACGACCAATACTAGAGATTCTTCACGTATATAGTTTACATTTGTCTTCTTGGAATAATATACTACAGTACTGTCGGTAGTGGCCAATAAGCCGATATGCTAAGGAGGCCAATTAGCCTACACCAAGCCTTGTACTATTCTCCTCCAATCTAATAAAGCACTTTGTTTCCCCTACAATCTAACAGTGGTATCAGAGCAACACACATCACACACCTCCTCAATTCCAACAGTGCTATCAGAGCAACTCACAC